CGCTGCTGCCCCACCTGCTCGGCCAGCCCAATCCTACAGAGCCACAATCAACTCACACCTCCCCACAGACTTCTTTTTCTTGATTTTTTGGGGATTTCTGGAGTCCCCAGCATGACCCAGCCCAATCCTACAGACCCACACTCAGCCCACACCTTCACCCAGCCACTTCCCCCCCATTTTTTGGGGGGATTTAGGTCCCCAACACCCCAAACCTGCCCTTTCCAGCCCAATCCTGCCACTCCTGAAGCCCCAGGTGTGGCCCAACCCAATCCCACAGACCCACACTCAGCCCACACCTTCCCCTCATTACATTTTTCCGGGTTTTTTTGGGGGATTTCTTTGAGATTTTTTAAATTATTTTGGGATTTCTGGAGTCCCCATCGTGGCCCAACCAACCCCTGCAGACCCACACTCAGCCCACACCTTCCCCCAGCCATTCTCCCCATTTTTTGGGGGGGATTTTGGTTCCCAACCCCCCAAACCTGCCCTTCCCAGCCCAATCCTGCCACTCCTGAAGCCCCCGGTGTGGCCCAACCCAATCCCACATACCCACACTCAGCCCATACCTTCCCCCAGCCATTCTCCCCCATATTTTTTGGGGGGATTTTGGCTCCCAGCACCCCAAGTCTGCCCTTGCCAGCCCACTCCTGGTGCTGCTGCCCCACCTGCTCGGCCAGCTGGTGCTTGTGCTCGGCCGAGGTTTTCTCCAGCTCGGCGATCCTCGTCTGCTGCTGCTGCACCACCGAGCGCAGGTGCTTGATGCAGTTGTGGTTGGGCAGCTCGTCCTTGGGCATCTCCAACCTGCCAGGAGTGGGGGAAAGGAGGTGGAGAGTCCAAATTAGGGGAATTTGCACCTTCCAGAGGTAATCCAGGTGTGGAAAGACAGGGAGGGGTCTGAGTGTCAGGCTGGGGGAGGATTTGGGGGATAAATGGGGATTTTTCTTCTTTACTGACTTCCTGAGATGTTCTAAAGCCTGACAGTCCTTTCCAGGAGGGAATTCCTGCTGATGTCCACCCTGACCCTGTCCTGGAGGTGTGCCATCCCAGGGCCTTTCCTGTGTCCATCCTGGTGCCATCCCATGCCCATCCAAGTGCCCATCCTATGCCTGTTCCATGACCATGCCATGTCCATCCCCATGCCAATGTCCATCCCAGGGCCACTCCTGTGTCCATCCCATCCCCACCCTGTGTCCATCCCATGGTCCATCTCAGGGTCATCTCTTGTCCATCCCTATCCCGTGTCCATCCCAGTGCCCATCCCATCCCCATCCTGTGTCCATACCAGTGCCCATCCTGTGCCTGTTCCATGGCCATCCTCTGTCCATCCCAGTGCCCATCTTGCGCCCATCCCTACCCCATGTCCATCCCAGGGCCCATCCCGTGTCCATCCCAGTGCCCATCCCCATTCTGGGTCCATCCCAGGGCCCATCCTGGTGCTATCCTATGCCCATCCCAGTGCCCATCCCGTGTCCATCCCATGCCCATCCTATGCCCGTTCTATGTGTCCATCCCCACTGCATGTCCACCCCCATCCTGTGTCCATCCCAGTGCCCATCCTGTGCCCGTTCTATGTGTCCATCTCCATCCTATGACCATCCCCATCCCAGTGCCCATCCCAGGGCCATCTGATGCCCAGCCCCAGTGCCCATCCTGTGTCCATCCCCACCTCACGTCCATCCCAGTGCCCATCCTGTGTCCATCCCAGGGCCATCTGATGCCCAGCCCCAGGGCCCATCCCGTGTCCATCCCCACCTCACGTCCATCCCAGTGCCCATCCTGTGTCCATCCCAGGGCCATCTGATGCCCAGCCCCAGGGCCCATCCCGTGTCCATCCCCACCCCACGTCCATCCCAGTGCCCATCTCATGCCTCCCCATGCCCACCCCGTGCCCACCCTCACCCGCATCCCTGCTCGCAGGTGACCGGGCGCTTGGGGTTGTGCTCGCAGTCGTTGAGGTGAGCCATGAGGTTGTCGAGGCGCACCACGGCCGTGCAGCCGAAGACGGCGTTGTCGCAGGTGATCTGCAGCTTGGAGAGCATGTTCCGCATGATCCGCGGCACCGGGCGCAGGTGGGCCACCGTCACCACGCTGCGGTCCACCGGGCACGTCTGCTGCTGCGAGAACCACTGCGTGATGCAGGCATTGCAGAAGGCGTGCTCGCAGTGCGGGGCCTGCGGGAACGGCGACGGGGTCACGCGGGGAGGCTGGGGTGGGGGAACCCCCAGGATGGGTGGGGAAACACCCCAGGATGGGTGGGGAAACCCCCCAGGATGGGTGGGGGAACACCCCAGGAAGGGTGAGGGAGCCCCCCAGGATGGGTGGGGGAATCTCCCAGGATGGGTGGGGAAACCCCCCATGATGGGTGGAGAAACCCCCAAGGATGGGTCAGGGAACACCCCAGGATGGGTGGGGAAACCCCCCAGGATGGGTGGGGAAACCCACCAGGATGGGTGAGGGAACACCCCAGGATGGGGTGGGGAACCCCCCAGGATGGGTGGGGAAACACCCCAGGATGGGGTAGGGAAACCCACCAGGATGGGTGAGGAAACCCCCCAGGATGGGTGGGGAAACCCCCCAGGATGGGTGGGGAAACCCACCAGGATGGGTGAGGGAACACCCCAGGATGGGGTGGGGAACCCCCCAGGATGGGTGGGGAAACCCCCCAGGATGGGTGGGGGAACCTCCCAGGGCATCGAGGCCAGGCTTGGACTGATCCCCAGGAGAGCCCTGAGTGCACCTCTGCTCATTCAGTTGAGGGATTGATCATAGGATTGATCATGGAATGGTTGGGGTGGGGAAACCTCCCAGGATGGGTGGGGGAACCCCCGAGGATGGGGGGGGGAAACCCCCAGGGCATCAAGGCCACACTGGACTCAATCCCCAGCAGAGCCCTGAGTGCCACCCCTGCTCGCTCAGTAGTGGGATTGATCATGGGATCAATCATAGGATCAATCATGGCATTGATCATGGAATGGTTGGGTGGGGAAACCTCCTAGGATGGGGTGGGGAAAGCTCCCAGATAGTTGAGGCCAAGATGGACTCAATCCCCAGCAGAGCCCTGAGTGCCAGCTCTGCTCGTTCAGTCGTGGGACTGATCATGGGATCACTCATGGAATCACCCTTGGAACCATTCATGGAATTTCTCACGGGATCACGCACGAGACCACTCAAGAAATCCCTCATGGAATCACTGAGTTTGGGAAAAACCTCCCAAATCATCAAGTCCAACCTGTGACTGATCCCTGCCAGAGCCCTGAGTGCCACCTCCACTCCTTCCCCAGGATGGGGGATCCCCCACCTGTCCTGACCCCTCACCTGTGCTGCGCAAACCCTTCCCAGGACCCCCCATACCCCATCCCAACACCTCCAAGCCTGAATACCACCAGATCCCACCCCAGTGCCCAGGTGGGTCCTACCTGCACCCCCAGACCCCACCCTAGTGCCCAGGTGGGTCCTACCTGTACCCACCATGTCCCAGGTGGGACCTACCTGCACCCACCAAATCCCACCCCAGTACCCAGGTGGGTCCTACCTGCACCCCCAGACCCCACCCTGGTTCCCAGGTGGGTCCTACCTGCACCCACCGTGTCCCAGGTGGGACCTACCTGCACCCACCAAATCCCACCCCAGTACCCACGTGGGTCCTGCCTGCACCCACCAGACCCCACCCTGATGTCCAGGTGGGTCCTACCTACACCCACCATGTCCCAGGTGGGTCCTACCTGCACCCACCAGATCCCACTCAAGTTCCCAGGTGGGTCCTACCTGCACCCACCGTGTCCCACCCCCGTGCCCAGGTGGGTCCTACCTGCACTGGCTCCTCCAGGACCCCGCTGCAGATGGGGCAGATCAGGTCCTCGTCCACGTCCCCCTGGAACCGAGCCACATCATACCCCATCGCTCGTCACCGGCGCCAGAACCCTGCGGGGCGGGCACGGCTCAGCAACACCCCGGGGAGGGCAGATCCACCTCAAACCTGCCTCCCCTGGGGGTCCCTCGGGGCAGGGATGGGGAGGAATTTGGGTCCCTTGGGTGCTGGAGCCATTCCAGCCCCTGGGATTGGGATCTGAAGTCCAAAGTCCTGCAGGAAAAGGGTTTTCCGTTTATTCTGGAGCTCCCTTGGGGCAGGGGTGGGGAGAAATTTGGGTCTCTTGGGGGTTTTGGGTTTTCCCAGAGCCATTCCAGCCCCTGGGATTGGGTCCCAGATCCAGATCCCAGGGTTTGAAGTCCAAGGTCCTGCAAGAAAGAGTTTTTGAGTCAAACTCGTTTCTTCTGAAGCTCCCTTGGGTCAGGGATGGGGAGAAATTTGGATCCCTTGGGGGTTTTGGGTCTTCCCAGAGCCATTCCAGCCCTTGGGATTGGGATTTGAAGTCCAAGGTCCGGCATGAAAAGGGTTTTTGAGTCAAACCTGCTTCTTCTTGGGGTCCCTTGGGGCAGGGATGGGGAGGAATTTGGGTCCCTTGGGTGCTGGAGCCATTCCAGCCCCTGGGATTGGGATTTGAAGTCCAAGGTCCGGCATGAAAAGAGTTTTTGAGTCAAACCTGCTTCTTCTTAGGGTCCCTTGGGGCAGGGGTGGGGAGAAATTTGGGTCTCTTGGGGGTTTTGGGTTTTCCCAGAGCCATTCCAGACCCTGGGATTGGGATCTACCAGGGTTTGAAGGCCAAAATCCTGCAGGGAAAGGGTTTTTGAGTCAAACTCGTTTCTTCTGAAGCTCCCTTGGGTCAGGGATGGGGAGGAATTTGGATTTCTTAGGGGGTTTTGGGTTTTCCCAGAGCCATTTCACCCTAACCCTAATCCTGGGAACCCTAATCCTGGGAACCCCAACTATAACCCTGGGAACCCTAATCCTAACCCTCAATTTCCCAGTTGTGGGTTTGATTTGGGGTTTTTGGGGTGGGTTATTTGGTTTGCAGAGCTGGGCACGTCGGGCTTTGGGAACGGAAGAGTTCCCAGCCCGGCATTCCCGGGACATTCCCGGGAAATTCCCTCCTCCATCCCCTTCCCCTCAGCATTCCCGGGAAATCCCCTCCTCCATCCCCTTCCCCTCAGCATTCCCGGGAAATTCCCTCCTCCAGGGCCGGCCTTGAGCTCTGCCCCGGCCGTTGCTGCTCCCTGCGCCCCTCCCCGACACCAAAGGCGGTGACACGGCGGTGACACAGCGGTGACAAAGGCCCGATAAGGAGTCCCCACCCCAAACCCCGACGGGAGGGGCAGGAGAGGGGGGAGGACACCGGGACAGGGAGCCGGGAGGGGACACGGGAATTCCAGATGTGCAGGGCAGGAATTCCAGCTGTGAGGGGACCTGGGGATTCCAGCTGTGCCCATCTCAGGAATTCCAGCTGTGAGGGGACCTGGGGATTCCAGCTGTGCCCATTCCCGGGAAATCCCCTCCTCCATCCCCTTCCCCTCAGCATTCCCGGGAAATTCCCTCCTCCAGGGCCGGCCTTGAGCTCTGCCCCGGCCGTTGCTGCTCCCTGCGCCCCTCCCCGACACCAAAGGCGGTGACACGGCGGTGACACAGCGGTGACAAAGGCCCGATAAGGAGTCCCCACCCCAAACCCCGACGGGAGGGGCAGGAGAGGGGGGAGGACAGCGGGACAGGGAGCCGGGAGGGGACACGGGAATTCCAGATGTGCAGGGCAGGAATTCCAGCTGTGAGGGGACCTGGGGATTCCAGCTGTGCCCATCTCAGGAATTCCAGCTGTGAGGGGACCTGGGGATTCCAGCTGTGCCCATCTCAGGAATTCCAGCTGTGAGGGGACCTGGGAATTCCAGCTGTGCCCACCTCAGGAATTCCAGCTGTGAGGGGACCTGGGAATTCCAGCTGTGCCCACCCCAGGAATTCCAGCTGTGCCCACCCCAGGAGCACAGGAGGGCAGCTGAGGCCTGGCCCTGCTGCTGCTCCCCAGCCAGATGTGCCCTCCCAAAACACATCCAGATGTGCTGGGCTCCCACACCTTGGCCCCAGCCAGCTGTGCTGAGCTCCTGCCCCCGCAGCCCTGCCCAGATGTGGCCTCCCAAACCCACCCAGCTGTGCCGGGCTCCTGCGCCTTGGCACCATCCAGCTGTGCCCCCCAGCCAGCTGTGCCGACCCCCTGCAGCCTGACCCTGGCCAGATGTGGCCTCACGGCCAGATGTGGCCTCCCAAACACACCCAGATGTGCCGGGCTCCTGCACCTTGGCACCATCCAGCTGTGCTGAGCCCCTGCTCCCCCAGCCCTGCCCAGCTGTGCCCCAGCCCAGCAGCAGAGCCGGTGACACAGGGACAGATGTGAGGGGACCCCGTGTGCCCAGAGCAGCTCCAGGTGATGCTGGATCCTTTATTCCCAAAAAAAAAAACCCCTGGGAAAACCCCACAGCTGCAGGGTTTGATCAGGGCCGAGGGCTCCCGGCCCGGAGCGGCCCCAAATCCCAGCCCAGCCCTTCCCACGGGATCACAGCCCCGGGCAGGAGCCTCTGCCAGGGCTCCGGAACGTTCCGTGGAGCTCAGGGGCTCCCAGAAATCCAGAGCCAGGAACAGCCCCTCCTCCCATCCCAAAATTCCTCTGGGATCTCACCAGGCTTGTCCCAAAACTCTGGGATCTCCCCAAAACTCCTCTGGGATCTCCCAAGGCTCATCCCAAAACTCCTGTGGGATCTTCCCAAAATTCTGGGGTCTCACCAGGCTCATCCCAAAACTCCTTTGGGATCTTCTCAAAACTCCTCTGGGATCTTCCCAGGCTCATCCCAAAATTCTAGGATCTTCCCAAAATTCTGGGATCTTCCCAGAGCTCATCCCAAAATTCTGGGGTCTCACCAAACTCATCCCAAAACTCTGGGATCTACCCAAAACTCCCCTGGGATCTTCCCAGGCTCATCCCAAAATTCTAGGATCTTCCCAAAATTCTGGGATCTTCCCAGAGCTCATCCCAAAATTCTGGGGTCTCACCAAACTCATCCCAAAAGTCCTCTGGGATCTTCCCAGAGGAGTTTTCCAGAATGGAAAAAAAGGAGGGATTGGAGGAATTCCCATGGGAAAAAGAGGGATTGGAGGAATTCCTGAAAAAAGAAAAAGGGAAGGGAAGGAAAGGAAAAGGTAAAGGAAAAGGAAAAGAGGAAAGGATTGAAGGAATTCCCATGGGAAAAGAGAGATTGGAAGAATTCCCATGGGGAAAAATGAAGGATTGAAGAAATTCCCATGGAAAAAAAGGAGGGCTGGAGGAATTCCCAAAAAAAGGAAAAAGAATAGGAAAAGCAAAAAGAAAAAATGAAGGATTGGAGGAATTCCTAAAGAAAGAAAAAGGAAAGGATTGGAAATGGAAAAGGGAAAGGAAAAATGAAGGATTGGAGGAATTCCCGTGGGAAAAAGGAGGGATTGAAGGAATTCCCATGGAAAATGAAGGATTGAAGGAATTCCCAAAGAAGGAAAAAGGAAAGATTGGAAATGGAAAAGGGAAAAAGAGAAAAAGAAGGATTGAAGGAATTCCTGTGGAAAAAAGGAAGGATTGAAGAAATTCCCATGGGATAAAAGGAAAGACTAAAAGAATTCCCACGGAATAAAGAAGGATTGAAGGAATTCCCATGGAAAAAAAAGAAGGATTGAAAGAATTCCTGTGGAAAAATAGAAGGATTGGAGGAATTCCCGTGGAAAAAAAGGAAGGATTGAAGGAATTCCCATGGAAAAATGAAGGATAGGAGGAATTCCTGTGGAAAAAAAGGAAGGATTGAAGGAATTCCTGTGGAAAAAAGGAAGGATTGAAGGAATTCCTGTGGAAAAAAGGAAGGATTGAAGGAATTCCTGTGGAAAAAAGGAAGGATTGAAGGAATTCCTGTGGAAAAAAGGAAGGATTGAAGGAATTCCTGTGGAAAAAAGGAAGGATTGAAGGAATTCCTGTGGAAAAAAGGAAGGATTGAAGGAATTCCTGTGGAAAAAAGGAAAGACTAAAAGAATTCCCATGGAAAAAAATGAAGGATTGGAGGAATTCCCATGGAAAAAAAGAAGGAATGAAGGAATTCCCATGGAAAAAAAGAGGGAATGAAGGAATTCCCATGGAAAGGACCCTGGCTTTACCTCCCGAGGCAGAATTCCTCCTGGAAGCACGCAGGGCTGCGCTGGCCTCACTCTGTGCTGGGAATTTCTCCCAAATTTCTCCCATTTTTTCCCTCTCCTCTCCCACAGGGCGGAGCCACGAGGTCCTGGAGGACGGATCTGATCCCAAAAAAGAGAAAAAACCGGGAAAAGTCAGCAGGGGGGGGAGGGAAGGAAGGTCCTGGAATTCCCTGCAAAAGTCAAATCCCACACGGAATTCCCAATTCTGGGGAGAAATTCCTCCCCCTGCTCTGATTTTTTGGGAATTTTGGGAATAATGGAGCCCCAGGCCAGTCGTGGACAGGGATCCAGGCTCGGAAATTTGGGAATTTCAGCTGAGTGGGATCCAGGGATCAGAAATTTGGGAATTCCAGCCCCATTTCCAGTGGGATTCACACTCAGAAATTTGGGAATTTCAGCCCCATTTCCAGTGGGATTCACACTCAGAAATTTGGGAATTCCAGCCCCATTCCCAGCTCTGCAGCCCCTCCCCATCCTGCTAAAAATTCCTGGAAATTTTCCTGGATTTTTCCTCAAATTATTTTGGATTTTCCCCCCAAATTCTTTAGGAGTCTTCCCCAAATTTCTCTGGAATCTTCCCCAAAAACTCCTCTGGATTTTCCCCCAAATTCTTTTGGATTGTTCCCAAAATTTCTCTGGATTTTCCCCCAAATTTCTCTGGATTTTTCCCAAATTCCTCCAAACTTTCCCCAAATTCTTCCAGCCTTACCCCTGAACTCCTGGGGATTGTTCCCCAAACTCCTCTGTGTTATCCCCCAATTTTTTCTGGGATTGTTCCCAAAATTCCTCCAAATTTTCCCAAAATTCCTTTAAATTATTCCCAAAACTCCTCCAAAATTTCCCAAAATTCCTCCAAAATTTTCCCCAAATTTTCTCCGAATTTTCCCCAAAATTTCCCTGGATTATTCCCCCCAAATCCTCGAGATTTTCCCCAAAATCCTCGACATTTTTCCCCCAAATTCCTCGGGATTCTCCCCAAATTCCCTCCCGCTCTCCCGTTCCCCACCGGAGCCGTTCCCGGTTTCCCCTCCCCGGTGGTTCCGTTCCCTTCCTCCGTTCCCCGGTACCGCCACCAGCCCGGGGCTCCTCCTCCAACCGGAGCCCCCCCGGTCTCCTCCGTGGATCTTTCCCCTCCTCCGCCCGCGGCCTCTCCCGGTTCTCCCGGTGCTACCGGGGCCGCCCCGGGAGCCCCAAGCACCGCCCCGGGGGCCTCTCCGCCGCCTCTCCCACAGCCGTACGTACCGCGGGGCGCGGGCCCGGCCCGCTCGGGGCCGCTCGGGGCTCAGCGGCGGCCGCGGCCTCCTCCCGGTGCCCCCGCCCGGCCCCGCCGCGCCGGAAGTGCCGCACCGGAAGTGCCGCTCTGGCCGCGCGGGCCGGAACTCGGTGGTAGAGGCGTCAATGAATGGGCGTGGCTTATCCTCATAATCCCTCCCTTTCTGCATCGCTATTGGTTAGAGGCGCTGCTCGTTACGCTCCCCCACGCTCTCTGATTGGCTGCGCTCGCTGACTTCCGGGAGCGCCCGCGGCGGCGGCGGCGCCGTGCCCGGTGAGCGCGCGGCGGGAGGTGCGAGCGCCCCCTGGTGGCGGGACGGGCGGGAGGGCGGCCCCGCTCCCGGTGCCGCTCCCGGTGCCGGTCCTGGTTCTGCTCCCGGTCCCGGTGGCCCCGGAGTGCCGTTCGTGCGTAGCCCCGTTCCCGCGGTCCCGTTCCCGGTGTCCCGGCGGCCCCGGTGGTGCCGCTCCCCCGCAGGGATGCTCGCGGTGTTCCGTCCCCCTCTCGGTGCCGCCTTCGCGTTGCCGTGCCCGGTGTCTCGTTCCTGCGGCGGCGTTCCCGGTGTCCCCGGTGCCGGCCGGTCCCGGTGGTCCCGTCCCCGCGGTCCCCGTGTCCAGCGGCGATGTCTCCATGGGCCACGGCCGGTGTCACCCCCGGGTCCCGCGGGCCCGGTGTCCCCTCCCGGTGTCCCCTCCCGGTGTCCCGTTCCCACATCCCCGATGTCCCCTCCCGGTGTCCCGGTGTCCCGTCCCCGGTGTCCCCTCCCGGTGTCCCGTTCCCACAGCCCCGATGTCCCCTCCCGGTGTCCCGGTGTCCCGTCCCCGGTGTCCCCTCCCGGTGTCCCGGTGTCCCATTCCCGGTGTCCCATCCCCGGTGTCCCATCCCCGGTGTCCCATCCCCGGTGTCCCCCTCCCGGTGTCCCGGTGTCCCATCCCCGGTGTCCCCTCCCGGTCCCTGCGGGTCGGTCCCGGGGCTGCCACCGCCGGTGTCCCCTCCCCATTCCCGCTGTCCCCGCAGTGTCCCCTCCGGTGCCACCCCCGTTCCCAGTGTCCCCCTCAGTGTCCCCATGGTGCCACCCCTGTGTCCCCACGGTGCCATTCCGTGTCCCCAAGGTGCCCCTCCATGTCCCCAGGGGTGCCATTTGATGTCCCCTTGGTACCATTCCCTGTCCCCACAGTGCCATTCCGTGTCCCCAAGGTGCCACTCTGTGTCCCTGCTGCCCCTCAGGTGCCCCTCCCTGTCCCCAGGGTGCTGTCACTGTCCCCAAGGTGCCCCTGGGTGTCCCCAAGGTGCCCCTCCCTGTCCCCAAGGTGCCCCTGGGTGTCCCCAAGGTGCCCCTCCCTGTCCCTAGAGGTGCCACTCTGTGTCCCCAAGGTGCCCCTGGGTGTCCCCAAGGTGCCATTCCCTGTCCCCATGGTGCCATTCCCTGTCCCCAAGGTGCTGTCCCTGTCCCCAGCCCGCGCTGCCACCATGAGCTCCGAGACCCTGGTCAAGGACGTCAAACCCGGCCTCAAGAACCTCAACCTCATCTTCATCGTGCTGGAGACCGGTCAGTGCCACCCCCCGCTGTGCCCCGAGCCCCCCTGTCCCCCCCTG